GTCCCTGTCCTTGTCCCTGTCCTTGTCCCTGTCCTGGTCCCTGTCCTGGTCCCTGTCCTGGTCCCTGTCCTGGTCCCTGTCCTTGTCCCTGTCCTTGTCCCTGACATGGTCCCTGTCCTTGTCCCTGACATCATCCCTGTCCTTGTCCCTGCCATCATCCCTGCCATCATCCCTGGCATCATCCCTGCCATCATCCCTGTCCTTGTCCCTGCCATCATCCCTGCCATCGTTGCCCCATGGAGCCAGCGGGGTGTGGGTTGTTTTGGGGGGGCCCTGCTGCAGAGATCACCCTGGTTCAGGGGGGTTCCAGAGCCAGCAGGGTGTGGGTTGTTTTGGGGGGGCCCTACTGCAGAGATCACCCCATTCCAGGGGGTTCCAGAGCCAGCAGGGTGTGGGTTGTTTGGGGGGCACCTGCTGCAGAGATCACCCCGTTCCAGGGGGTTCCAGACCCCCCCCCCCCGGGTTTGTGTCCCTGTGATTCCAGCAGAGCAGGAGCTCCCGGGGTGACCCTGGGAATGCTGTGTCACAGCCCGGGGCGAGGGCACCGGGAATGGCTTCCCACTGCCAGAGGGATTTTGGGAAGGAATTCCTCCCTGGGAGGGTGGTGAGAAGCTGGACTGGAATTCCCAGGGAAGCTGTGGCTGCCCCTGGATCCCTGGGAGTGCCCAAGGCCGGGCTGGAGCAGCCTGGGATGGCGGGAGGTGGAACCACACCATCATTCCCACCCAAACCATTCCATGGCTCCGTGAATCCCACCGAGGGTTTCTCCCGCCCCTCCAAAGGTCCAAGCCCGACATCAAGATGGAGCCCAGTGCTGGCAGGCCCATGGATTACCAGGTGGGTGACAACAGGGGGGGACCCTTTCCCAGGGAACAACTCCATGCTGAGCTCCCACAGAACTTCCCAGGAGCTGGAATTCAGAGGGTGGAGTGACAAACCCAAGATTGGGTTTATGAGCTGGGCGGGTTCTCCCATGTGATGTGGAGCCCAATTAAGCCCAAATTAAACTCTCCCAGGTTCCCCTTGGAGCAGCCCGGGATGGTGGAAGGTGTCCCAACCCGTGGCAGGGAACTGGGTGACCCTCAGGGTCCTTTCCAGCCCCACCCACCTGCTCCAGGGTTCCGTGATCCCGTTGTGATCCCGGCCGAGCTCTGATCCCACAGCTCGGATAAATCCACGTGGTTCCCACCTGGCTTGAAGGCCGCACCCTATGGGGCCAAAACAACAGGGAATTCCCGGGATCTCCTGCATCCCACACCCCCCTGGGATGTGCCCGAGCAACCCCGGTGTCCCCGGGATTCCCCGAATCCGGGAAAACGCCTCCAAAGGAGGGGCAGGGAGAGGAATCCCGGCCCTGCCGGTGCCAGGGGGAGGTGAAGGTGCCCCCAAACTCCCCGTCCCCAGGTCAGTGTGACGGTCATCGAGGCCCGGCAGCTCGTGGGGCTCAACATGGACCCCGTGGTGTGCGTGGAGGTGGGAGAGGAGAAGAAGTTCACGTCCATGAAGGAATCCACAAACTGCCCCTACTACAACGAGGTGGGTCCGGGTTTGGGGAGGGCAATTCCAGGGCTGCTCTGCCCTAGGGGAAGGGGCATCACCCATCCCCTGGCGCTGCTTTGGGCTTTGTCCAGGTATCCCACATGGATCAGGGGTGGGAGCCCTGGAAAATATGGAAAATCCCGGATTTTGCCATTAGCTGTCAAAGCACTTTTGGATTTCCCGTCGTCTCCCGGGAGAGCCGATGAGCTCCAGCTTTTCCTTTGTGCTCTGGAAGTTCTCCTTGGGATCCAGAGCTGTAAAACTGTTTGGTGTTTCACCAAATTAATTCCACACCTTCCATGAGATCAATTCCCGGACTTTCCATTGGAATTCCACACTTTGGGATTGTTCAGGTGTCCCTTCACAGGGAAGGATTCCTTCCCAATATCCCATCAACCCTCTGGCAGTGGGAAGCCGTTCCCTCCTTGTCCTGTCATTCCATACCCTCTCCAACTCTCCTGGAGCCCCTTCCAGTGCCAGGAGGTGGAATCCGGGTGGAATTTGGAGCCTTTGGGGTTGGCGGGAGGTGCCCCTGGGGTCACCTGGGGTGGATTTTCTGAATTATCCTCGGATTTTCCAAGGGTTTAGTGCTTCCCTCAGCCCCACCCGGGGTCCAGAGGTCGGTGTTGGGGTCCCAGGGGAATGTCCCAGGTGCTGCAGGGGCTTTTCCCAGGGTTTTTCGACCCCAGGGATCCCCCCCTGGATCCTCCCTGACGGCTCCTCCTTCCCTTCCAGTACTTTGTCTTCGACTTCCACGTCCCCCCCGACGTCATGTTCGACAAGATCATCAAGCTGTCCGTGAGTCAGAGCCGTTCCCTCGGCCTTTTCCTGGGATTTGGGGAGAAAACGGCCCCTTTTGGGATGGATTTGGGCTCCTCGGTGGGAGATTCCCAACAGGAACCGAGGGGTTCATTCCCACAGCCCCCCCCCCCCCCCCCCCCCCCCCCCCCCCCCCGCTGGCAGAGCCCCCAGTCCTGAATTCCCTCCAATCCTGGATCCATCCAACTCCTGAATTCCCTCCAATCCTGGGTCCATCCAGCCCCTTCCCTCCAATCCTGGATCCATCCAGCTCCTGAATTCCCTCAAATCCTGGATCCATCCAACTCCTGAATTCCCTCCAATCCTGGATCCATCCAGCTCCTGAATTCCCTCCAATCCTGGATCCATCCAGCTCCTGAATTCCCTCCAATCCTGGATCCATCCAGCCCCTGAATTCCCTCCAATCCTGGATCCATCCAACCCCTTCCCTGAAATCCTGGATCCATCCAACCCCTTCCCTTAAATCCTGGATCCATCCAGCTCCTTCCCTTATATCGTGGATCCATCCAGCCCCTGAAGGATCAGCTCCTTTCCCATCCCACCCCAAACGCCTCTGGAAAGATCCTCGTGGCTCCCGGGGCACGGGAATGGGAACCCGACCGGTTTTCCCGTCTGGAATTCCAGGTGATCCACTCGAAGAACCTCCTGCGCAGCGGGACACTCGTGGGATCCTTCAAGATGGACGTGGGGACCGTTTATTCCCAGCCCGGTAGGGAATTTGGGAATGCTGCTGGAATTGGCCCTGTGGGAGCCGTGGGGGAACAACCAGGGAGGGGCTGCTTTCCTTGGAAAGCCCTTCAGCCTCTGGAATGTGCTCCAAGCTCTCCCGGGATCCTTCCC